TTAGCTGTCCTATATTTATAAAACACCTAAATATTCGTAAAATGTTCATTTATTAACTTTTTATATAGTTTCTAAAATATTTCCACACTATTTATTTCTCTTTTTCAATTGTATTTTAATATTCATAAATATTAATCATTTCTAGATATGAGAGATATTTGCAGAATATGACCTAGACTCAGAGCAGCAGCTTTACACACCCAAGATAGTGGACATTGCTGCTTCTTTGATAGAGATGTATGGATACATCTGAGACTCTTCATTGGACACAAAACAACAACAACAACATAGGAGAGAGAGAATCTGAGATATGAATTTAACCTATTTTCATTCGTTTTTTATTTGGTTGCATATAATGTTGTTATGAATTGTTCAGTGGCTCTCGTTGGTCTAGGGGTATGATTCTCGCTTTGGGTGCGAGAGGTCCCGGGTTCAAATCCCGGAAGAGCCCTTTTTTTTTAATTGGAGAGGAGTGGACTAAAGGAATTGGTTTAACCATGGAGATAAACACCACCACATGAATAGTTCAAATATTTTGATGCTGAATACAAACTACATCAGTTATTTATTGACATATTTACATTTTATCAAATGTGTAAATAATTTTATTTAATATCGTATTTAATCAATTTTATAGAATAGCGTGTTTTTGTATTAGTGAAACATAACTATCACCTTATCGCGGGGTGTTCCGGTTAATGCAGGCCTATATTCAATTACTTTCATGGATACAAAACTTAAGGAAGTTGTGGCTTTTTGCATGTACTCGTATATCGGGATTCAGACAATAACTCTGAAAGATATTACAGTGACCTTTATTGAAGACACACGAGTTAACTACACTAATAAAGAGAAACTTAAAGAAGTTCTACCTTTTACCATGTATATCGGGATTCAGACAATAACTCTGAAAGATATTACAGTGATCTTTATTGAAGACACACGAGATAACTACACTCATGGACAAAACTTAAGGAAGTTGTGGCTTTTATCATGTATATCGGGATTCAGACAGTAATTCTGAAAGATATTACAGTGATATTTATTGAAGACACACGCGATAACTACATTAATAAAGAGAAACTTGAGAAAGTTATACATTTTAGCATGTGTATATCGGGATTCAGACAATAACTTAAGGAAGTTGTACCTTTTAGCATGTATATCGGGATTCTGACAATAACTCTGAAAGATATTACAGTGACCTTTATTGAAGACACACGAGATAACTACACTAATAAAGAGAAACTAAAGGAAGTTATACCTTTTAGCATGTATATCGGGATTCAGACAATAACTTAAGGATGTTGTGGCTTTTAACGTGTATATCGGGATTCAGACAATAACTCTGAAAGATATTACAGTGACCTTTATTGAAGATACACAAGATAACTACACTAATAAAGAGAAACTTAAGGAAGTTATACCTTTTAGCATGTATATCGGGATTCAGACAATAACTTAAGGAAGTTGTACCTTTTAGCATGTATATCGGGATTCAGACAATAACTCTGAAAGATATTACAGTGACCTTTATTGAAGACACACGAGATAACTACACTCATAGACATGGTTAAGGCTGAGTCCTGAACAGTCATTCAACCTGAAAAGAGTTCTAATGATAGATAAAAAGATTTACTGGCCGAAGTATCTTTATTTTCAAGAAAAATGGTTAAGGAAGTTGTACCTTTTAGCATGTATATCGGGATTCAGTCGATAATTTAGAAATATATTTTATACACCGTTACCTTAATTGAGAACACCCGAGATAAAACAAGTGTAAAAAAAATTGCCTCTGTCTCCCTCAAGAAAACAGACGACTGGCGCGTCTGTGAGTTTAGATGTAAAGTTTGAGATGGAAGGTTCCAATCCGATCAAAGGATTACTCTGGATTATGTTTCTGCTACCTCACATTTATCTATCTGCCTTTGATTTTGTATTTCTTAATTGATTTGCACGTTATACTTTTTTCCTATATGGAAGTTTTCGCATTTCTTATTTGATAATCAGCTTAAATCTATAACGTACCGCTACATACTCTGATGAATAGAATGAATTGATATTCAATATTATTTTATATAAAATACGTTATTTATTTATTTCAGCACACAAAACGCGATATCCCGGTTAGGGATAATTGCGTCGATTTACATTATTTTTTAAACAGAAACAATTATAAACATATTATACAGGGAAAGTAATCAAAAATAAAAAAGATAAACAATAATATATATTAGTAAACTGAATTTTTCAGGTTAGAAAGATAATCATAAATATATCTAAAAAAATAGTTGAACCTGTGACAATTCTCTCTCCTATTTACAAATTGATATAGATCTACAACATTATTTATTGTCTGTTGTCTAGCGATAAAGAAGAGTGGGCATTTCTGCAGTAGGTGTCTCGAGTCCTGGAATTCATTGCCACAATACGTTATGAATTATTTTATAATGATTAGCTTAAGATAAGCCAGTGCATGTCGCATAATATTTAGATTTTTTCAAGAATTACACTAAATTACCAGTTTTCTATTGAGGCATTAGAGAAGGTACAGTCTACCTTTAAGGAAAGTAGTTCATGTATAGGCCCCCTTATGGAAATTTAAATCAAAGGAACAATTTTTAAATTATATTTATAATAAATCGTCAGCATATATATCAATTACTACTGGTGGTCCCCTATATTCTGAAAATATCAGGAAAGATTATCCTTGCATCATGAAATATATGCCAAGAAAGATTTCGGTTATTAGAGCTAGTAATGTTTTAATAAAAATGATGATTCAAACATTTTCACTTTATGTCTCTTGCATTTGTATTGGATTCTCTCAATTCTCAACGTTTTCAAGCCTTGAAATGTGCAGAGTGTTTCCATCCAGAAATAATTGCACTGACCTTGCAATAATCTTCTAACGATATCCAATTAGAACATTCAGGTGTTCCGGGAAATGTGATAACTTTGATGATATAAAATGATGTCGAACATTCATGGCCATACAGTCAAGATGTTCTTCGCCGTGTTCTTCCTGGCTTCATGCCTCCTTGTGGCTTCTCAGCGTATGTAGACTTTACCTAACTTAGAACTGTATATGGTCCGAAGACCATTCCATTCTTGTCAAGTGAAATGCTATTTGTATATGTAAATATGTGTTGGGTCCGAAGACCATTTAATCCTAGTCGAGGGGAATGATAACCGTATATGTGTTGTGTCTCTCTCTCCAAAGACCATTCTATTCTTGTTTAGTGGAATGCTAACTGTATATATCTTGGGTCCAGAAAACATTCCTTCCTTGTCATGGGAAGTGCTAACTGTATATTTGTTATGTCCGAAGACCATTCCATCCTTGTTCAGTGGAGTGCTAACTGTCTATATCTTGGTTTTCGAAGACCATTACATCCTTGACGAGGGGAATGATAACCGTATATGTGTTGTGTCTCTCTCTCCAAAGACCATTCTATTCTTGTTTAGTGGAATGCTAACTGTATATATCTTGGGTCCAGAAAACATTCCTTCCTTGTCATGGGAAGTGCTAACTGTATATTTGTTATGTCCGAAGACCATTCCATCCTTGTTCAGTGGAGTGCTAACTGTCTATATCTTGGTTTTCGAAGACCATTACATCCTTGACGAGGGGAATGATAACCGTATATGTGTTGTGTCCAAAGACCATTCTTTACTTGTTTAGTGGAATGCTAACTGTATTTATCTTGGGTCCAAAAACATTCCTTCCTTGTCATGGGAAGTGCTAACTGTATATGCGTTGGGTCAGAAGATCATTCCATCCTTGTTTAGTGGAGTGCTAACTGTATATATCTTGGTTTTTGAAGACCATTACATCCTTGTCAAGGGGAATGATAAGTGTATATGTGTTGGGTTCGAAGACCATTCTTTACTTGTTTAGTGGAATGCTAACTGTATTTATCTTGGGTCCAGAAAACATTCCTTCCTTGTCATGGGAAGTGCTTACTGTATATGCGTTGGGTCCGAAGACCATTCCATCCTTGTTTAGTGGAGTGCTAACTGTATATATCTTGGTTTTTGAAGACCATTACATCCTTTTCAAGGGGAATGATAAGTGTATATGTGTTGGATCTGAAGACCATTCCATCCTTTTCTAAGGAAGTGTTAACTGTATATATGTTAGGTCCGAAGACCATACCATCCTTGTCAAGGGGAGTGCTAACTGTATATGTGTTGGGTCCCAAGACAATTCGAACCTTTTGAAGGGGTGTAATAACTGTATATGTGTTGGGGTCCGAAGACAAATCCATTCTTGTCAAGGGTAGTGCTAACTGTATATGTGTTGGGGTCCGAAGACCAATCCATTCTTGTCAAGGGGATTGCTAACCGTATATGTGATGGGTCCGAAGACCATTACATTCTTGTCAAATGGAGTGCTAACTGTATATGTGTTGGGTCCCAAGTCAATTCCATCCTTGTCAAGGGGAGTTCTAACTGTATATGTGTTGAGTCCTGAAGACAATTCCAACATTGTCAAGAGGAATGTTAACCGTCTCTTTTTTTTTAAATAAAAACTTAGAATATATACTTAATTTGAACCCCTTATCCCCAACCTCCATCTCTTTATCTCTATATATATAAAAGTCAATGTCTGTCTGTCTGTTTCGCGATAAACTCAAAAACTACTGAACCAATTGGTACCAAATTTTGCATGTCGCTTTTTATACACCTGAGGAAATTTTTCGGCTACATTTTGATTAGTATTTTTGGCTATTTCTTTTCATTTGAAGAACTTGTTTTACGCGGAGTAATCCGGAATGGAATGAATACCCAAATATGGCCATTTTTTATAAGCATCGGTGGTTCAGTGGTAGAATGCTCACCTGCCACGCGGGCGGCCCGGGTTCGATTCCCGGCCGATGCATTTTTTTTTACAATTTTTAAAACTCATTTATATTATATCTACTTATATAATTGCCTTATTCTGTCTGTGTGAAGTTCACGGATAGATTTTGGTCGTAATGGATAAAATAAAAAAATTGACAAGGGATGGGAATCGAACCCACGACCTTCCGCTTACCGGGCAGATGCCATGACCACTAGGCCACATGACCACAATTAATAATTGTAACAAATAGTATTTGAATCAAAACATTCAATCGGGTAAAACACGGGCGTTGCCCGGGTCATTCGGCTAGTATAATATAAATATATATTATTATATCAACTATATTGATTAAATCAAATACCTAAACACTAATATAATACTATTTTTGCCATCACACATACTTTTTTCCTGTAGTTTATGTGTTACTTCTGTATTGCTATTCTATGGCACTTCTAATATTTATTATTGATGTACTTTCAGTATGAAGGAAATTTCAATCGGGGGAATTATCGGGCGAAGCCGGGTCATACGTCTAATATGATATATATATAAGCTTTATTTAAACTTTTAAATATTGAAAAGAAAAATCCCGGGTTGATATCAGGTTTTATTTATTTTATATAGCAAGATTTCAGAAGTATTTTTTTTTACTACAGATTTATTTATCAAAATGGAGAGAGAAATGTTGATATATGTTAATCCATATTAATAGAGAATGATTATAAAAAAAAATAAAAAACTATAAAATAAATTCAATATTTACATATATACATTACTTATCCTTAGTACACGTGGTACAGGCCATGATAATCATGGTTGGTAGAAGAAGGCGATTGCTTTAACTGTATGTGCACCACATGTCTACACATGTGAAAAACAGTTCGACTTTGCACTTAAAAATGTGCCAGAGCCCCGTTTGGTTACTTGCACTCGCTGGTGGAGTTGGACTTTTGCAAGAATCAGGGGCCATTGGAGTTTTTTTTTTATCAGAAAAAAAGTGCCCCAATGCGGGAATCGAACCCGGTTCGTAGAGGTCGAAAACCAACGGTTTAGACCATCCTTCCACCTACCCCCATATTTACATATATAGTATACACAGTTAAGGTTATGTTTTGAATGTCCAAAAAACTGGTGTTTTAACTCATTCTTTACCATTACATTGAAGGTTTTAATGACGTGATTAACAAAACGAATTGTATTTATGTTTATTCAAAGGGAGAAATGTCTATTTTATAGTTCCAATATATAGATATTTTAAATCTCCTTTAGATATCTGATATCTAAGTAAAACGTTTATGGAGATGAGTATCTTTTATTCTGGTCTTCTCAAGCTTTCGGGCTTGTCCGCCCTTCTACAGGAGAAACATATACTATATAACGAGAAAATATAACGCCGCTTGATGCTAAAACTATTATGATTCTATGTACATATATACATATATATATACATATATACTGTTACATCATGATTAATGGCGTATTTCTTATATTATTTTTAATATATTTGAAATTTAAATTATATATTTATTTATTTTAATATTCTGTGATATTTATTTAAAACAGATAATCATCATTTGTATTTAGGTACACGTGTGACTTCACTGCTCTCTTTGATGTGAGAAAATAAATAAAGGATTCTGGAGGCTACTTAAAGAAGACTTATCTCGTTATTCCCTTTTATAAAGTTGTAGGATGGTTGAAACACGCTCTGGTAAGATGCAAGACCCAGCACAGGAGAGAATCAAGGCTGAAGAGTCTGCCAAGCCGCAACTTGGTGCAACAATTGGTGGAGATGCTAGTTCCGACCCAGTTGTCCTGAATCCCAACATCGACATCCCCAAGTATGATGGAACAGAAGACCCTCGCCCATGGATAGAATCCCTCGAAGAGATTGGTTTCCTCTATCATTGGGCAGACTACATAATTGCCCGTTATGCCGCCATGAACATGACGGGAAGCGCTAAAACCTGGTTGAATTTACACAAAGCGAGTTTCACGAGCTGGGAAAATATTAAAATCCGCCTCATTCAAGATTTTTCTCTGGACGCCAATAAAGAAGAACTAAGAATGAAGCTCAACAGAATGCAACACTGGAATGAACCAGCAATCAGGTTCGCGGAAGACATCCTAGTGTTGTGCAACAAGGTTGACCCCGCAATGGAAGAAGAAACAAAAATCGATCATGTTATTGGAGGACTGAAAAAAGAGTACTCATTCGCGCTCTACCTGAACCCTCCTAAAACGACCGATGAACTTCTTGTCGTGTGCAAGAAAATGGATTCTTTTGAAAAGAAGTATCGGGAACGTGTGGAGAAATCCAGAAACCTATATAACGGCCCACGCTATTCTAGACCCCAACAACAATCGAGGTACGTGCCGCCGACTGCCACACGAAACTACCAGACCCCTTCCAGGCCCCAAGCCCCTGTTTCCAATAATTACAAGAACGACTTCCCTCCTACTCTCAGGCAGTATCGAAACAACTTGACCCAGCCCTTTACCCCGAGACGTCCTTATAATCCAAACTTTGTGCCTAAACCAAACCTCCAAAGAAACACCTACAATAAAAGTCAAGAAGTGAGCAAAAATAGGACGGAAGATGGAAGACCAATCTGCTTCAAGTGTAACAAGCCAGGGCATGTGGCCCGTTATTGTAGGGTCAAGTTTATAAGAATCCTAGAAGAGGATCCAACAGCTACCCAAGAGAAGATCGAAGAGAAATGCCAAATGAATGAAATATCAGATAAATCAGGACCTCGGCTTTATGCTGATGTATGTCATAGCACACAGACAAATATTCCTACCCGGAATAGATATTCCGTGTTGGAAGATTTAAACTAAGCGTCGCGCCTGAATATGTCAATCAAAGCAAGTCGACCATAAATGGAATCAAAAAGTTGGATCCTAAATACAAATTAAAAATTCATGTGGACAAGATAGGAACTTTTGAAGCTTTGGTTGATACAGGCGCTGACCTCTCAGTGGTCGACCTCAGAACGGCCCTCGATACAGGCCATGGTATAAGTAAACTCGCAAAAACTTGTGCAGGACCCGATGGAAAAAAATTAGACATAGTAGGAAGTATATTGTTAAATATAAAAATTGATGACAAAGCATTATCGCACAAATTTGTGATTTTGAAAACGCATTTACGGACATTAATTTTTGGAAGAGATTTCCTTAAGAAAATGAACGCGAAAATAGATTGCAAAAAAGAAATAATAAAATACGATCTGACAAATAATCATGACATAAGCAATTATTAACTGAAAAAAATAAAAAGCGTTGAAGATACTGTTATACCTGAACTGTCTATTAGATTAATTAAGGCCTCAATAGAAGCAGAGGATGGCGAATATGTCATCGAAGAGAACAACAGAATGATTCAAACAAATGGCCTTCGATTGGCAAGAAGTTTGCTTACTGTCACGGATAGGAAAACTCATATCTGGATAACGAACCCTTATCCTCGACCTTTAAAAATCATGAAAGACCAAACATTGGCTCATGGAAGCCTTCCTGCAGAGGTAAAGTTCATAGAGAAGTTAGAGCAAATTAATAATGACGAAATCCAATTTCAGATAAACAAAAATCTATCACCTAAAGAACAAGAGGATTTGAAACAAATTTTGAGTAAGTATGCTGATTTGTTTTCGCCGAGGTTAGGCAGGACCAATTTGGCAAAACACCGGATCGATACAGAAGATGCAAAACCGATAAAGCACAAGCCATATAGGGTGAGCCCCAAAGAACGGGACATTATAAAAGATCAAATTGATGAAATGCTCAAAGAAGGCATAATTAGACCATCTTCAAGTCCCTGGTCTTTCCCTGTAATACTGGTCAAGAAGAGAGATGGTAAGTTCAGATTTTGTGTAGACTATAGAAAATTGAATGAGGTAACAGTAAAGGATGTTTATCCAATCCCAAGAATTGATGACGTAATGGATACTCTCCAAGGATCGAAGTACTTCTCAGCAATAGACCTTAGATCGGGATATTGGCAAGTCGAAATTGAAGAGAAAGACAAGGAGAAGACAGCTTTCACTACGACCCACGGTTTATATGAATTCAACGTCATGCCCTTTGGACTATGCAACGCCCCTGCTACTTTTGAGAGGAATATGGACAATGTGCTTGGAAATCTAAGATGGCAGATTTGCCTTTGTTATCTGGACGACGTTATTATATACAGCTCAGACTTTCCAACCCACCTTAAAAGACTTGAAGCTGTCTTAAAATGTTTTAGTGAATCTAATTTGAAACTGAACGACAGGAAATGCAGATTTGCTTTTGAAGAACTTGAGATCCTTGGTCATATAACCAACCAACAGGGTATAAAACCGGCCGAATATAATATCAAAGCCGTTAGGGATTTTCCTCAGCTCAAGAAGGTCAAAGAAGTACAATCGTTCCTAGGAATGTGTTCCTATTATAGAAAATTCGTTAAAGATTTCTCATTAATTGCTGACCCATTGACAGGACTCATCAGGAAAAATGCGCAATTTACCTGGACAGAAAAACAAGAGGAAGCATTTCAAAACCTTAAAAAAGCTCTGATAAATCCGCCAATCTTAGGTCACTTTGATCCAAATGCAGCCACCTACATTCACACAGACGCCTCTAACATCGGCTTAGGTGCAACACTGGTCCAAATTATCTGTGGGGAAGAGAAGGTGATATCATATTTGAGTCGAACTCTAAGTAAAGCTGAGCAAAATTACTCAACCACCGAAAAGGAATGTTTGGCTGTGGTGTGGGCGATATCAAAACTACGACCCTACCTATATGGAAGACACTTCAAGATAATTACAGACCATCACGCATTGTGCTGGCTGAAAAATCTTAAAGATCCAACAGGTAGACTTGCAAGGTGGGCACTGAAAATTCAGGAATACGATTTTGACATAATACACAAATCGGGTAAAAAACATATGGATGCTGATGGCTTATCTAGAGGACCCCTACCTGAAACGGATTGGGTCGAAGATTATGAACGACTATTTTTGAATCAGATAATAAATGAAGAGGATGAATTCATAGAAAATGTTAAGAAAAGCCTTAAAGGAAGCAAACGAGCAATCACACAGAATTTTAAAGAGGAAAATGGATGTCTATATAAGAAGAACCCAAACCCTGAAGGCAGAGCATAGTTGCTGGTAGTGCCGAAGAAGAGAAGGAAAGAAATCATGAGTGAATTCCACAACCATATGCTGAATGGCCATCT